CGGATGTGTGCGCGTATGAAAATATCGCCAATTGTAAAGGACACCGTCCGTTACCACGTACGTGTCATCAACAGTGTTCGCGTTAATAATTATCGTTCGTAAATCGTATCAAATCTCAGGGAATACCTACTTCAATCTAGTATTAATGAATAAAATTTCTTCGTAACGCGAACGACTGTTGAACGTGTGCAACCGTTAAATTTTGTAATTTCGGTTTCATCGTCGTTAAATTATTTTTACTGTTAGAAGGATATCCGTATTGTTGGTGTGAATCTTTTCTTATTGGTGCGTTTGGGATTAAAAAAACAAGTTCAGTGCATCGGAAGAAGACAGTGCTTCGAAAAATTAGAGGTGCGTATTAGAAATTCCATTTTCGTTTCGTATATTACGAATTATTTTACGAATATTTTGTTTTATTACCTAATCGTTCGTTTTAATATATTCGATATTCTAGCGCTTCGACGAGATATAATTAGGTAGTCGCTAAGTTCGCATTACATTGCACAATTATTCAATGCCTTTTTGCAAATATTATGACGCAATTGTTTATTCGTTATTGTTTGCTTATTTTTTTCTAACAATTGTTGCATATAAAAGATTATCTTATATATATATATATATATTAGTGTTTTAAGGAATAGATCGATCTTTGTAATATATATGTTAGATATTTTCTTATTATAATGTCATTTTAACGAAGTATACAAAATGTGCCAAGAGATATAATATAAGAGATAAAATATGTTCAAAAAATATTGTTTATTCGATGGCCAAATATTTCGACGAGGCCATCTTGCGTGTTCGTAAAACGATCTGCTTATTCTCCTCCTGTCGCTCCTCTTTCACCCCCGTTGCAGCGGTCTCGTCGCGACAAAGGGGGTACACGACGACGGGCACGTGTACCACAACGTTTATTAATAAACCTCGACGTCGGCTCCGACGATTTCTCTTTAACAGAAGGCCTGGAAACTTATGCAGGTGATTACAGTCATCTAGCATAAACGAGCAAGGAATTATGTACAATTCTTTTTTTTCATTATTTTTTTCGTTTCTATCTCGATGAATATATTATTTCAAGAATAGTAACAATTAAATTTGCATGGCTCCGAGTATTAGAAGCTTATACATTTTTCAGGAGCGTACGATCATTGTCAATTATGTTTCAACAAGTGCTCTGTTACGAGATGTAAATAATTCAACGCTATTTCTAATTTTGCGCGTTGCTAAGATTTCGTTCGGTAATTTCACGTTGTAAGAGAAATTTGATCAATTGATAAACGATGATATTATTTGATACGTGTTTAAAAAAGTTTCTTTTTCTAAAAAATCATTTTTCACGGTCTATGAGCAAAACCAGGGATCGTCTCGTGTTTTCTAAATCTCTGGCCTTTGCGACTTTGGCCGAGAAGATATTTTAGTGTGTTTCGTCGAGCGCGTGGCAAACGGCCAGTGTCGAATACGCAAGTGTTTGCGCCATGATCGAAACACGATTCTATAGCGAAAATTTTTCTTCATCTTATTAAATTTCTATAATTTATCTACGAAATTTTCTCGATATTTGCAATTCAAAAATTTTGCATATAATTTTAAATGATGGAATTTATTTCTTTTCAATTTTCATTTATATGTTATTTTAATGTATTTTGTTTTAATTAAAAGTTTTTTTTTTCGTTTTTAATTTATACTATATCATTAAGTTGAAATCTGATATACTTCCTTTACAAAAAGAATAATAATTATTAATTAAAAGTATAGCGTTATAAAAATTGAACTTATTTACGCGTGACACGATTTTCAGTTGATTTATGAGACATACTGCATAATTGTCATTCTGTTCGTGATGATATTACTCGAAAGGTTACAACTATTTTTTTTTTTTTTTTCGATGCGCAGTAAAATGCGATCATGATTTCTATTAAAAGGAAAGTTTGCGAAAAATATATTTATAATGTTGTCTGCAGCTTTCAAATATATCCAGTAAACGCATTCTCTTTTTTATTTGATACATATCAAGCGATTCATATAGAAATCACGAATTGCAAATTTAACTTTTAAGAATCGTTCTATTCGAGTCTGTGTGAAGATTCTTGTGCACTGAACCAAATGCACAAACGTTCCCGTTTTAAATAACTTTCTAATTTTGAATGCAGCTCGGATATTCCATATCCAGTATATCTTCTCTTCAAATGAGATCATTTCACGAACATTCGTTATTTTTTTTTTTTTTATAAAAATATTGCAAAAAACTTAGTAATTACATCATAATATAAAAAAAAAAAAAAATAAAAAAAAGAAGGAAAACGAAAGACACACACGAATTATTTACTCGGTTGCAAAAAAATATTTGTGCTCTATTTACGAGTTAATTAATTTCGACTGATAACAAAAAAATAAATTATCTTTATCCGTATATAACAATGCAAAAAAGATTCTCACAGCTGGTCTCGAGACGTACACTACGTATTCGACGTTCGACACACGTTCGACTTTAGGAAAAAAAAAAAAATAAAAAAATAAAAAACGTGGTAATCGCAGAAAGCATAGTATTTATCAACTATATACGTAACACGGTCGTTGCTTCCACGGTAGCTGAATTCAGAAAAGCGGCCTTTTATGCTCGACCGAACGTCCCGAGTGTAGTAGTTGCGTTTGGTTCTCTAGGATGAGGGAATTAGGGGGAGAAAGAGAGAGAAAGAGAGAGAGAGAGAGAGAGAGGAACGATGGTGGTGGAGGAGGAGCCCGATGGCAATACAACAATATGATTATACGGCGTGCTGCACCGGTTTTCTGCAGCAGCTGCCGTCGTTTTGGGGGATCGGACAGAAACAGTATGTGTATGTGTGTGTGAGAAAGAAAGAGAGACAGAGAGAAAAAGAAAAAGAGAGAGAAAGAAGGAGGAAGGGAGACAAGGAAAGGGCCCCGTTCGGGCGAAGCGGTGCACTGTCACGGTAGTGCGGTGCTTGGTAGTGGTAGTGGCAGGTGGGGTGGGGGGGTTCCGGAGCGGGGAGGAGGAATAGGAAAAGAACGTAGGGCCATTTTGCAGGGCCTGTGCACAATATGAGTGTGAGAAAGATGGAGTGAAAGAGCGTGGAAAGGAGGAAAGAGGGAAAAAAACGGGAGGACCCCTTCTGTAAACCCCTCTCTCTCTCTCTCTCTCTCTCTCTCTCTTTTTCTCTTTCTCTCTCTTTACCTGCAGCATTGCAGAAACACGAAAGCAGAGGCCCACGAGAAAATACTACCCTACTATACCTAGGTTCTGGCAGGCAGTTTCGATCCTCGCAAGAAGTAAAACTGGCTCCCTTTTCAGTCCGTTACCGAGACTTGAATGGAGGTCAGGGTCCCTTCTCTCCTTGCCCTTTTCTTCTTCTTCTACTTCTTCTTCTTCTTCCTTCCCGTGGTACCTTTCCCTCTTCTTTCGGCACAGTGTATTCGCACCAGTAGTTTGGTTGCCTGTTTCTGTTCTCGTTCCCCAGCTTGGGGCTTGCCGGTTTTCCCCGGTTTGCACAGGGGTCCGGGCAGAAAGGGAATTTTTATCTGTTCCCTTTATATATATATATATATATATATGTATATACGTATGCACGAAGGAGTCATCGATTCAAGGGAATCGAGGGGTACGGAACAGTACTTGGAGTAACGGGTCCGGGAGAGGGAGAAACGGTTTATTTTTGTCCTTCTTTCTTACCGTCGCGCCTAGTAGGATACCTACGAGCGAAATCTTTTTTTCGTGGACGCGGATCTGCACGTGGCCGTGCGCGTACGTTGTTGCGCATTTTACGAGGACCGTGCGAAGCGATGCGATTCGTCGGTGGGTCGTACAATGAGGTATTAAATTCTAAACGCTCTACCTTTCCCTCTTCCCTCGCTCCTATCGTACCTAGGAATATTTCATCTTTTCCTACGATTTTACACGTCCTGTTACACTTTATACAAATTAATCCAATCACGATTGAAAACACGAGTGAAATTATCGATTGCAGATAACCCGAATCGAGAATCATCATTTTTGTCTAAATGGTGGTAAGCCTGTGACGTGATTAACTGTTGACCAAAGTACCAGAGAAAGGTGTCAAAATTGAGCAGGTCGTCCTCCCGTCCGGCGGTGATCTCGCCAAAATTTGGAGGATGTTGATGCCCGGTGCTGCTGGCCTCAGTGCCGTAGGCGCGGTGGGCGCCGTTGGGGCGCCAGGGCCGGACGAGTTGGTTTCGGGCCTTGGCGCTTTGGCAGGCACTACGCCTCAACAGAAAGATACCACTTGGACGAAACTTTTCGTCGGCGGTTTACCGTATCACACCACCGACAAGAGTCTCAGGGAACATTTCAACGTGTATGGGGACATCGAGGAGGCAGTGGTCATTACCGATAGGCAGACCGGCAAAAGTAGAGGTTATGGTTTCGTAAGTATGATTATTAACTTTTTATTTATTTATTTATTTTTTTGCTGATTAGTTTTTTTTTTTTTTTTCGTTGATTGATAGTCGTGTTGCTGTGAGAGCTCGCTTTGTTTGAGAGATAGCTTCGAATGAGTAGTTTATTTATTTGTATTTGTTGTTGTACACGTGTAATTTTTAACGGCACAGAGTTTGTCGTAACGGAAGGGAATAAGGGATGATAAAAATTTTGTTAGAAATTTTGCTATTGAGAACTGGTTTTCTCAACCGTTGCTCTTAATAGTTTATGTTAAAATACGCGTGTGTTGAACGTGCAAAGATAATTCGTTGGGATAATGTAACCAGTTTGTTCACTTATATTCAAAAGGATTTAACTGTTTCCTTAAAACTTCCGGTAGATGATGATGTTCTTTTTTCTTTCCCTTCTTTAAAAACATATATATATATATATATATAATACTTATCAGTTTCCTTTTTTATCACACGTACTTATGTAAAGGATAATATGCAAAATGCGCGCGTGTGTCAACGTCCTTACTACATCGCAACGAAATTCTCGTCGCAAAAAAAAAAAAAAGAAAAAATAAATAAATAAATAAAACCGATTATAAATCTCCAGTTGCAGATCGGTTATTATTATCGAGTTATTCGAGAAAAGTAAATATTTTTAAAATCATAAACAAAAACTAGACGTAAAGATAAACTAAAACAACGCGTATCACGTCATAAGGGAATCGAAACCTTCCGCCGGAAGTTTTGAACAAAATTCGGAACATTATCCGTTGTTGATTACACTAACAAAATTCATCTTAAATATATCAGAGATAATAACATCCATTTCCAGACCAGAAGGAATTTTTACGAAAAAAGAAAAAAAAAAGAAAAAAAAAAAATTACGAGATTGCAAATCTTATCTCTGTAATATTGAAAAGTACATCGTTTTTTTATACGAGCGTGATTAGGACGCGCGCAGAGGGAGAGGGAGAAGGAGAAAGAGAGAGGGAGAGGGAGAGGGAGAGGCACACGCGCAAGATCGAGGCGAGGCGGAAGAAGGATTAAACGAATAAATAATCGATTGGATCTGTACGCAGGTGATCATGGGAGACAGGCCAGCGGCGGAGAGGGCGTGCAAAGACCCGAACCCCATAATCGACGGCCGCAAAGCAAACGTCAACTTGGCGATTCTTGGAGCTAAGCCCAGGGGTAATCTGCAAGCGAGTAAGTTCGTAAGCTCAAACACGATAGTTTGCGAAACGCTTATTCGAATGAATTGTTGCGAATTCTTTTTTTTTTTTTTTTTTTTTTTTAGTTAGATAGACAGATTCGATGATTGCTATTTGATTTGTTTCCTTTTTTTTTTTTTTTTTTTGCTTGGAGTGTTTTACTTTTGTCTTTCCTTCCCCTCCTCCCTTCTTTTCCCTTGTGACGATTCTAATATCGATTCCTTTCGATCCGAATACTCATCGAAATTGACTCGATTCCAAAAATGTTATTTCGAGAGATCGATTAATTTCCGGGACGAATGGTCATTTCTAAACTTTCAGCCGATTTTTGCGCATCATTGTCGCGGGTTTTACGCCGTTGAAACACAGCCAAATCAGCGTATCCCATTCGTCGCGGATAATATATATCCTCTCTTTGTGACGCGCGGTTATAATTCTACGTGATATACGCGAAGATGGCGCGCGTTCCAACTGCGAAACTTATTATCAAAGCTAAGCCTAATCTTGACGTGTTACAATTTGGAAAAATTCATCCTTTTAGCTCTGAAAGATGAAAAAAGAAAAAAAAGAAAAAAAAGAAAAAAAGAAAGAAATTAGAAGAGACATTGTTTCCCGGATGCGTGTCGGATTCGACTTGCGCAACTATTTAAATTCGCGTTCCGAATCCGAAGATTTGGAACATCGATGAAAGGGCAAAAGGAGACGGCAGGCAGGCAAGCAGGCCTTTATTCGCGTGTAGCGCCGTTTCTGCAAATCGAGGACCCGTGCCTTCCCCTCCCCTCCNCCATTCCCGATAATACGCGTGAAAGAGTAAAGGGAAGGAGAGCGAGGGAGCATCGAGTGCACGCACGATGTACTTTGAAAAAAAAAAATTTTTTTTCCCCCCTCCGCTTTTCGCAGTCGTACTATTTCTCGCATCTTAATTTATTCGCTGACGCCGACGAATTTGCGTCAAACGTTGTTTACGAACGTTGTTTGTGAACCTCTCTTTTCCTCCGATTATTTCCTCCCCTCCCCTATATATATATATAATATTTTTTCACGCCGTTAATTTGTAATGATTGGGAAAAATTTCAAAGAAATTTCCTCGTTTATTTACTCAATTTATTTGATGTATATTTTATGCACACGTGCTTTCGCGTCTAATATTCTTGATTTTCATAATTGCCATGAAGCAATGCACGCTTCATTTCGAATACATTTACGCGTCGTATTCCTCGCGATAGAAAGCACGTCATTACCAAAGTACAAGCGTATGCAAATCATGTTACACCTCTCTTTCATTGTAACGAGTAAGTTCAAGTTCGAATCGGTTAACGATTCTTAACGATTTTTTCTATCTCTCTCCCTCTCTTTCTTTCTCTCTTTCTCGATCCATTCTTTGAGGAAAACGAACACTTTGCGTGTATATATATATATATATATATATATATATATACACG